TCAGCCTATAACAGGTTGAGATGTGGGCAGGGACCCGAGGGGGCTAACTGCACTGTTGAGTTTGTCTTTCATCCCCGCTGCGTCCCTGGGCTCAGACCTTGAGCCTGGGAAGCTCTGGGAAAAGAGGGCATGGGACTCAGGTGTGAAGCCTCAGCCCAGGAACATTGCTTTGGTTTGGGGCGAGGGTAGAGGCAGAGAGAAGTTGGACTCAGTAATTGTCCCCCATCCCCTTACCCTCTCCCAATGCTTGTGGTGGTTGGAACTGCTGGGAGATGGTGCCTGAACCAAGCCCTCCTGGGGGGCCCATTGTGGGATGAGGCAGTGAAGGGAACTCCCAGGCATGTGTGCTGTTACTGGAGTTTGAGATGGTTATGGGGTGATGAGGACAATCATTTTCCCCAATTTTTTATTTTGAAAAATCTTGAGAAACATTGAAATAATAATGTAATAGATGCCCTTCATCTAGATTCACCAGCTGTCAGCTTTTTTGCCACATTTGTGTCCTCTCCCTTAATAATAGAAGCTCTGGTGGTGTAGTGCCTAAGGCGTTTGACTGCTAACCAGAAGGCTGGTGGTTCAAAACCCACCAGCCACTCCTTGGAAAGAAGACTGGGCAATCTACTTCTGTAGAGATACCACCTCAGAAACCCAAGGAGGAGTCGCTATGAGTCGGAAGTGACTTCACGACAGTGAGTTCAGTTTTGTTTTTTTTTTCCAGTTACCTTAATAATATACATAAAGGTGTGTATTTCTGAATCAGTGCACAAGCTGCAGACACCCTGACCCTTTGCCACAAACTACTTGAGTGTGCATCTCCAAAGAATAAGGACATTCTTGTCCACAGCTTCAGTAATATTATTGCCACTCCTAAGGAAACCAACGTCAAGTCCACAACAGCATCTCATAGCCAGTCTGTCCATGGTTCAGTTTCCCAGTCGTCCCAGTAATATCCTTTATAGCTGTTTCCTCCCTCCTGATCTAGGGTCCAGTCCAGCATTGTATGTGGTGTTCAGTTCCCTTGACTCTTTTTTTACTGTGGTAAATATATATAATGGTGGCTGTGTGGTGCAAATGGTTAAGTGCTGGACAATAAGCCATGAGGTTGACAGGTTGAAACCACCCAGAGGCACCTTGGAAGAAAGACCTGGCCTTTCCAAGTGGTCAGTGCCTTGAAACCTTATAGAGCGTACGTGCCTGTACCTGCAATCGTGCATACTGAGAGCATACACACCCCCTGCATGTGTGTGGTCCCCATGAGTTGGAATCAACTCGATGACAACTAACAACATCAAATATGTATGTAACAAAGCATTGGACATTTCAGTTCTTCATATATACAGTTCAGTAACATTTTGTTCATCATGTTGTTGACCATCAACCATTAACCATTCACAGATTTCCTATCACCCTTAAGAGCAGCTCAGTATCCCTTAAGTCTCTCTTTTCTTCTCCCTCTGTCCCACCCCTGATGACTCTCCCCCCAATGACTCTAATAAACTGTGGTCTCTATAACTTGCCTAATTGAGATATTTCATGTAAGTGGGATCATATAATATCTGTCCTTTTGACCCTGACTTATTTCCACTTAGCATAGTTTGCAAGGTGCGTCCATGTTGTAGCGTGCATCAAGACCCCCTTCCTCCTTATGGATGGGTAATGCAAACTCCATCGTATGTGTGTAGCACGTTTTGCTTATTCATCCATCTGTTGATGGATATTTAGGCTGTTTCCACTCTTTGGCTACTGTGAATAGTGCTGCAGTGAACGTTGATGTGCATGGTTGCCTTGTCTCTGTAGTCTTTTTCTAGAACAGTCCCTCACCTTGTTTTGTCTTTCACGTCACTGACTGAAATGCCCTGACCAGTTGTCTTGTAGAATGTCCTGCCTTCTGGATTTGCCTGATTATGTCCTCATGATTAGACCCAGGTTAAATATTTTTGGCAGGAGAACTCCACAGAAAATGTGTTCTTCCAGCTGCACCTAACTGGGGGCACGTGATGGAGAGCTGTTTTGTGATTGAGGATGCCAGGTTTGATCAAGGGCGATCACTTTTTATTTTAATAGTTGTCTTTTTATTGTCTATTAGGAAACATACAATGAGTGCATGGCACTGGTAATTTTATGGGTAATATTGCTGAGACAGAAGGTAAATAAGACAGTAAATAAAAACAAAGAATTTTTAAAGCAAAATCCTGAGTGATTTATTGGACAGGTGGGTAGGGAGAAGTCATGAAGGTGGAATGGGAATGACTGAGCTTCTGGAAATCCAGACGGAACGTTAAGAACGTAGGCCTTGGTATCCAGCAGACCTAGGCTGTGGTCCTGCTGAGCCTCTGTTGACAGTGATGCCCCTTAGATTGTCTCTCTGAGCCTCTCACCTGTATAGTGAGGCTCATAGGACCATCTCTAGGTTGGGATGCTGGCTGGTAAGCAGGGGGCTGCCTGACCTTGCCTGGAGCTCCTGGCTGGTGGAGAGGCTGGGGTCAGGGGCAGGCCCCCAGAGAGCTGCTCCAAGGCCCTCCGAGGCTCCCATTTGTGAAGCATTTAAGAGCTGCCAGCCTTGGTGTGGTGCCAGGGGATACCAGAAGGCCTCAACTGTTTCCTAAAGGTTAATTAGCTGCTTACAGCAGCTGGCGGGGCTTGTCTCCCTGACCCCAGCTCATGTCCTGCGGGGCTTTGCTGCCTGTAGATTACCCAGTCTTCTCTATTGGGGGCAGTTTTAAGGTGTGGGGTGGTAGGGCAGTTAACTATGTGCTCTCCCCACCTCCCATGGCTGCTACATCCTGGAGACTTGATCTGGGGCTGGGAAGACTGGGGACAGAGAGATTCTGAGGAAGGCTGCTTGGGGTCTTCGAGGGAGTGTCTCCAAAAACCCTTCTTTGACCCTTAAAGCCAAAGACCACCTAAGCCAGCAGTGGGCCTGCCACCAAGGGCCTTGCCACTCAGTTCCTGCTGTTTATGTCACATGATGGTGCCCCCTTGCCAAGGTCACACAAGACCATGTAGCCTCACTGGCAGTTTTGAGGTGGGCAGGGGTGGGAGAAGGTGCTTACGGGAGCATACATCCTGGGCTTTGGAGGCACAGTGCTGACCGCGCCCTTTCTGGCAGGGTGGCATCGGACAAGTGAGCACATGTGTCAGAACCTTATCTTCTCATTGGGAAAATAGGATCACACTTACTTATGGAATTCTTGTGAACAGCAACAAATGCTTTCATCATTACAGTAACCCTATCTTACAGATGAGGAAATGGTGGCTCAGCGAGGGGGAAATAATTTGCCCAAGGACACACAGCTAGTAAGCTGTGGTGGTGCTGGATTTGAACCCCAGTGGTCTAGTCTGGCTCCAGGCTACATGCCCCTAAGCTTCCACCTGAGCTATGAGGGGCTTCCTGTGTCTTCCAGTTCAGGCCTTTAGCATTGGCCCTTGACCACTACCACCCTTCACAGCTGGGTGTGAGTGGCAGAGCCAGGCCAACTCAGCCTGGGTTCTGTCCCCCCTCCCACTCCACATGCTTTGCGAAAACTTTCTCTTGGAAAGTTGTGCTCTTTTATATCAAGTCCGGGCGTCCGGGCAACTGGCATCTCCGACCTTCTTCCTTAGCCTCTGGCTCGGCCTTGTGGGGAGAAGAGTGCTGAAGAGGAGGGGCTGGTGGAGCCTCCAGCCTGGAGGAGGCTGGAGCCACAGACCTGGGTTCAAAGGCCCAATCACCCACGTACTGGCCTTTCTGTGCCTCAGTTTCCATATTTGGAGTGAGGGCAGAATAATGCTGTTTTCTGTCAGGGCTGTTGTTGGGGTAGCCAAGCCAAAGCACAGAGGCATCCGGGCACGTAGCGGGTACCCAGTATTTGGCCGTTGTTACCAGCTTGCTTTGAGTGGTTTTTGAAAAGCAGCCTCCCCAAGTCTGCTTAGGCACAAACAACTCAAGACACCCCCTTGGGCCTCTCTTCCCACTTCCCTGGGAAGAATTCCAGTTCCCTTACTCACCTCAACCCAACCCCCACTTTACAGTTTGTTCCTTTGTTCCCTTGTTTGTTCTGTTCATTCATTCATTCATTCATTCATTCCACAAACCTGTATTGAGCCCATTCATGTACCAGACTCCCTGCTGGGGTTCAAGAGCTTTCACACCTGCTATGATGAACAGCTCTGGAGACAGGTGCTGTTACTATTATCTCAGCTTTGTAGATGAGGAAACTGAGGCATGGGGAGCTTGAGGAGCTCTCCCAAGGTCCCACTCCCAAGACAAGGCGTGAGTATGGCCTTGAAAATGGTTTGATGTTCTTGTTCAGTGATTTTAGAGAGAACATTGGTTTGGTTCCAGCTCAAACCAATTCAGTGCTTTTCAGAAAAAAATAAATAAATTTTTTTTTTTTGTTTTTTTGTCTCATGCTTCAGTAAAGAATGACTATTTGGGCTTGGCTCAAGGTTCAACCACTTTATATGGCTTGTTCCAGCTTTTGGGTCGTGGCTCAGCTCATGTCTTACAAATAAAAGAACCTAGGACTGACCACTGAGAGAGACTGGAGGGACCAAGAAGGGAAGGATGTTGGGGTTACTGCTGGGGCTGGGCTGGGTCCCCCACATGCAGGGGTTGGGCAGCAACTTCTCCAACCATGCCGTCTCCAGGGACCGAGAGATGGGGAAAGAGTATGTCTTAAATGTTGGCCTGCGAGTGACCACCCTGTCTTTCCAGCCCCAGGAACCTAGGGAGAAGTGACCCTTGAATGTGAGAGTGTCCGAGGCAGGTCTTGCAGCAGCAGGTTTGGGGAAGGATGGGGGCAATGTTTGTTCCCTGCTGGGGTCGCCAGACACAGAGCCTCTGACCGGCACTATCTGCCAGGGAAGCATTTTCTTGTTTGGAGCCTGGTGGCATCCCCAACCTGGGTAGGCAGGCCATGGGGTGGGGAGGGAGTGAGAGGGGCTTCCTAGTGAAGGTCTGCCTGTACCCTGTGGCACCTCCCTGAGCTAAAAGGCTACTTTTCACTTTTCTTTTGCAGTTACCGAGAAGGAAGTCCAGCAGTGGTGAGTAGCTGCTTTTTTTTCAAACTCTTGGGGGCCTGGGGGTATCAGTTTTACACTGATGGGGACCACAGTCTGCTTCCCCCTTCCCTGTGGAGGGGCCCTTGAGAGTGGCTTATCCACAGAGCAGTTCACACAGCCCCTGGCTTCCTTTGCTCCTGTGAGACTGGAATACTTTCAATGGTATTGGAGTCAGGGATGGTGTCGGGGTGTTGGTAGTGATTTTTCAACTTGTGTGGCATCCATGATGACCATCAGGCCTTGAAGGGTTAATTCCAGCCCTGCCCACCAAAGGGAGAAAGGGATTCAGGATCCAAGAGAAACAAGTCAAGAGACTGGGTTCCAGGCCTGGCTTTACTAAATTATCTCATGGCCTTGAGAAGTCTCTTCACCTCTCTGGGGCTCAGTCATCCCTCCTATGAAATGATTGATTAGACCGGATAAAGGATGTCAAAGAGGTTTCCTATTGGATGCTAGCTCTAATTAATCCATAATTAATAGATTAATTAATTAATGCCTGGAATGCTGTGTTAAGAAAGATTCTGAGACTGCCTATTATGGAGCAATGGAAACTATTGCAGTGAGAGATTAGTGAGATCTGTAATGGATTATTGATGCCTGCCCTGGGTCTAGGGGAAGAGAGTGGCATATTATATATCACTGTAGAATGTAGAGCACAGGGCAGGGGCTCATACTATAAAGTGAACCTGAGCTGGGGGCAGGGAGAAGGTTGAAGGGGCAAGGTTTCTGTAAAGTTTGTTGTTGTTATGTGCCGTTGAGTTGGACCCGACTCATAGAGACCCCTCCTTAGGTTTCCAAGGCAGTATCACTACGGAAGTAGATTGCCCATCTTCCTTTCAAGGAGTGGCTGGTGGGTTTGAACTGCCAGCCTTCTGGTGAGCAGTCAAGTGCCTTAGGCACTATGCTACCAGAGCTCCCTCAGTAAAGTTTAGTGGTTTAGAAATAGACTTTGAGTTCTAGCTCTGCCTGTTCCTATCCTAGTGACCTCATACAAATGAATTAATGCCTCAGCCTCAGTTTCCCCATCTATACAGCAGGAATGATGACACACCAGGACATCTCATGCAAAGAGCCTAGTACAGTGCCCAGGAAATGGCAGTCATTGCTGCTGTTCTGTCCACTCTTCATTGGGGAACTGAGGCCCAGAAGTGGCCCTCCATCACATAGCCAGGCCATAGGGGGCCGTGTCAGGACCCAGATTATGAGACTCCTAGGTTAATGCCCCTCTGCTGAGAGGTGGGGCACAGATAGACAGACCCTTGCACCTCCATGTCCCAGAGTCCATGCTGCAGAGAGTGTAGAGCTGTGACTGCCTGCCAAGCCCCGCTGACCCCTTGCTGGATACCCAGGCCAGGTGGGCAGAGCTTGGCTAGGCTGTATCCTGGCAGGGGGAGCAGAGTGTGAAACATGGTGGCTGGCATCCTAGGCCTGGCTGTGTGGGCCTGACCTGCTGCCAACCTCGTTCCCCATTTCTTTACTTTTCTGAGTGGGCATTCCAGAAATGTTCCTGCTTGTAGGCCTTTGTCACTCAGCTCTCCCTTCCCAAGATGCCCCATTCTTCCTTCCTGGACCGTTGTCCATGCAGCTTTCCCTCACTCCTCCTTTGTGGGCCATCTGACCCCTCCTCCACCCGCAGCACAGCCTGAAATGCCTTCTCCGTGAAGCCTTCTGGATCCCCATCTGTATGTATTCTTCCTCCTTCCCACTCAGCAGTCAGAGGGCACTTTTTCTTTGAATAAAAACCTGAGAACCCTTCTCTACACTGTCATAGTAATGATTGCCTTGTATTTCTTCATGAGGAGTCCCAGAGTGGCACAAACGGTTAGGTGCTAGACTACTGGCTAAGAGGTTGGAGGTTTGAACCCACCCAGAGGCTCCTAGGAAGACAGGCCTGGTGATCTGCTTCTAAAGATTACCAAAAAAACTAAATTCACTGCCGCCAAGTCATTTCCAACTCCTAGCAGCCCTTCCTTGGGTTTCTGTGGTGGTATCGCTACAGAAGTGGATTGCAGTACGCCACCAGAGCTCCCATGGAAACCCCATAGAGCATTTCTGCTCTACGCACGTGGGGTCACCATGAATTGGAATCAGTCTGACAGCAACTAACAACAGCATCGATATCTATATATAGATAGATAGAGAGAGAGATGGATTTTAAGGAATTGGCTCAGAATATCAGGCTGCTTCTACCCTGCTTGGCTTTTGGGATCCAGTCCACGTTTCCAACGTGGTTTCCAAGGTTTAGTGCATCTGGCCCCTCCCAACTCCACCAGCCTCATGGCTGTCTCCTCTGCCCTTTGCTGTCCACCTACCCACCCACTCACTGCCAACTGCCGTGATAATCTCCTGAGCTGAGACAGACTCATAGTGACCCTATAGGATAGAGTAGAACTGCCCCATAGGGTTTCCAAGGCTGTAAATCTTTATGGAAGCAGACTGCCTCATCTTTTTCCCATGGAGTAGCTAGTGGGTTTGAACCGCCAACCTTTTGGGTAGCAGCTGAATGTGTTAACCACTGTACCAGCAGAGCTCCTTCTGTACCTATAGCCAGCCTGAATCGCTGTCTATTCCTTGAACTCATCTTATTCTCTGGGCTTCCTGATCTGGCCCAGGCTGTTCCCTCTGCTTGGTGCACTCATCCTCCTCTGCCTGACTAACACCTCACCCTTCAGGCCTCCCTCCTGGAAACCTCCCCAGACCCCCAGATTGTGTTAGGGGCCTCCTCTCACCTGCATGGCCCAGTGGCTCTCCCATCACACTGTGACAAGTTATACTGCAGTTACATGCTTATGTCCCTCTCTACCTCCCTGTTGTCCTTTGCCTCGTTCACCATTGTGTCCCTAGAGCCTGCCATAGTGGGTGCTCAGCATCCAACAGGCACTGTCCTAGGTACTTCAAGTACACATTGACTCCTGGCAGCTGCCCTGGGGGCCAGCATGGTTTCTTATCCCCATGTGGCAGATGAGAAAACTGAGGTTCAGAGGAGGTTCCAGGTCAGTGGCGGGAAGGCAGCAGGGCCAGGTTTGAGAATCTCCAGAACTTGAGCTCTGGCTCTGGTGGGTGAATATTTGAGTGAGGAATGAGTGAACATGTAAGGATCTGGGGCCACATGCAAGTTCAGAATCTCCTGAGGGACACAGCAGGGGAGGTCAGTGGTTAGAGTTGATGGGTGGGAGTCAAGGGACAGATGTGAACCTGGTGTCTACCACCTGTGCCCTGGCCACTGCTACGGTTGCTCATAGAACAATATCTCCCCCAGAGGACTCAGGAAACTAGGGCTGGGGAGGGGGCACCAGGAACTATGCCCACCTGGGCCCAATCCAGGCAGAGAAAAGGCCCAGGAGAGACAGCCCAGATACTTCCTGAGTACTGGAGTAGGCCAGACACACTCTCAGACATGTCTTGTTTATTTGATGCTCACAGTGAAGGTCCCATCATGCCCACTCACAGTCAAGAAATAGCCTCGGTGGATGCTGGACCTGCCCAAGCTCCTGGGAAGTCCCATGGCAGGGCAGGTGGGCTTTAAGCCCCAGGCCTTTGAGCCATGCCAAGTCCCCTTACCTACCCCATCCCTGGTCCTGCAGACCTCCCCCCCACACACACACACCAGGGACATGTCCCTGCCCTAGTTATACCTGCACCTTCCTAGAGAGTCTGGTGGTGAAGTGGTCCAGATTGTCAAGAGCACAAGCCCAGTAACAGTGATGTGTTGCTTTAGTCTCCCAGCTAGGTATCCCATGGCATCATCTGGAGTTGTTTGTATTGAAGAGAGAGGAGGCCAAAGCTGAGACAGGTTGAGCCCACAACAGGGTCTTGTTGGCAGTCTGGGGCCCTTGTCACCACCCCTAGATTCTTGCTCTTGACCACTTTGGTCCCCACTCACTTTATTGGAATCTTAGGAAGGACAATGGGGCTGATAAAGAAGCTGCAGCCATTTCTGGGCCTTTACATGTGATATTTGTGAAAATCATCATCAGGGAAAATGAAGCCAACGTAACACTGAGTGGAAACAGCAGGGCACAAATAGTACGTCTAATACCATCATGTGATGGGGGAAGTGCAGAGAGAAAAACAAAGAGGAGCAAGAGACAGGCCACAGGCTGGTGGTGGGTGTGTTGGGGTGGGGGGATCATGGATTATGAGTACTCTTTTCCTTTTAATTTTCTGTTTTCCAAATGTTCTGTAATGGTTGCATTACTTTTATAATAACCAAATAACCCAGGAGTGTTGTAACAAAAACAGTGGGTAGAAGCAGGCAGAATTTTACAGCCGCCTCAACAGGGCCAGCTGTCAATCCTGGACCATCCTACACAGACATGGGTAAGGAGGCGGGCCTCTGATTAATAAATAACCTCATCTTGGCATCCACTGGGCATCTCCTGGGGGGCCAGGCACTGCTAATACTTAGAACAGGGCTATGAGATAAGTCTTAGGTGTAGCCCCATTTTATAGATGAAGAAACTAAGGCTTGGAGGGGTAGAGGCTTGCCCATGTCACACAGCACTGTGTGTGTGTGTGTGTGTGTGTGTGTGTGTGAAGTCTGGGTGCAGTTCCCTTTGCTTCTGTGGCCCAGGCTGTCAGGACCTCAGATCTGCTGGCTCTTGCTTGATGGGAAACTCCGCAGAATGGAAGGCAGTGATGGGGGTGGGAGAGAAGAAAAATCATCCTCATCCTTGTGCTTGGGTCCCTCCTCTAGATTGTCTGAAGTCAGGTCTCCAGGGAGCTCTGGAAGGAGAACGCTGGGAAAGGAATTGTTTGAGAAGATAATGGGAGAACAGTTCTTCAAGGCTGCTGCTGCGTTGTGGCAGCTGTGTGTGGCTGAGTGCAGCTTGGGGTTAGGGCTTAGACCAGATCAGGGTTTCTCCACCAAGAAAGGACAGAGGTGTTCACCACCAGTGCCCTGGCCACTGCTTTATTCTCTAGCTATCTCTTTGTTTATTTCCTACCGTCCACACTGTAAAAAGCAGCCGCTGTGACATTTA